AAGCTAACCAAAGGTGCAGCAGATAGAGTTATATAAAAAAATAAATTATTCAAGTAAATTCTAATTGGAAATCTGGAATAATGTGTTTGATAGCTGAATGTAAATAAAAATTAATCACACTTTTAAAAATTGAGTCACGGACACATAGTCCGTTTTTAGTCGATAAGTTGATGGAAAAATTTTCAGAAATATTAGCTTTTTTCCAAAAATATTATTTAAAGACAACGAATATTACAAATAATTTAATCTTTTATAATATGAAAACACATTTTTTGCCACCTTGTACTGGAATAAGTTACAAAAAAAAAACCCTATATTTTATATAGGGAAAAATAAATAACTCCCTAATAATAAATAACACCAATGCAATCACTCACAAATATTTGTATACAAAAAATTCCTTTAGTTAAAAGAGTTAAGCAGTATACCTTCTTATTTTCATTTTTATACACATAAGAATTTTTGGGAGAGGGAAAGTGTACGCAATAGATGTCTACCTGTTTTTTTATAATGTATTTTTAAAGAAAAAATATTAAGAATTTCAAAGGCGGGAGTTTTAATTTTGTAACTTATTCCAGTACAAGGTGGCAAAAATGGTGTATTCATATTATAAAAGCAAAGCGGAAAAAAAGTGTTTAAAAAAATTATTATAATTTATATAATATAATTTTGAAATATAATAAAAATAAATTTTAAAAAGACGTATAATATTAAAAAAAAATTTAAATAGTTGTCAAAAAAAATATTTTCCAATTTTTTATAAACCATCCAAGAATTTCATGGATAATTTAAAGAATTTAGAAAACACTTTTATTAAACTTTTTAATGATATTTATACAGAAAAAAATTTAGAATGTAAAATATATGAACACTTAAAAAATAATTTCAACTATGAATGTTGTGAGAAGTCCGACAAAACATATTTCATTAAACTGTATATAGAATTAAAATTTACCACATAATAAAAATTTTTAATAAAACTATAAAACAATTTAATATAAAACAAAAAATTTCTAGTATTAAGCATTTGTAATAAATAATTATTAATGAATAAAATAAATAAATTATCTTTAAATTTTTTAATTTTTATTTCAATCTTAATAAATTTAGAACATGAATCGATAAAAAGATATTTCATAAAGTATTAATCAGTACGCAAACACTTTTTCATACCATTTTTTTCTTTATAAATTATTTTATTTCTATATCACTACCTGATACTGTGTATCTACTGTAACAGGTACATGCATGTGTACATTCATACATGAAATTTCAAACTCTTTTGCTTTCATACATTCGAATTTTTTACCTAACTTTAATAAAATGAAAAATAAAAAATAAATTTTGTTATTATCAAAATAAAAATAACAAAATTTTCACCTAACTTAATTTAATTTTATTAAACTCGTTTGTTTACAATATTTTGTTTCTTTCTTGCCTACACAACTCTTATTACCATCTATTTCTAAAAAAATTGGAATATTTTAAGAATTTGGAAGCAAGATAACAAAACGAAAACTAACAGAATGGAAAGAGTCGAATTACTTATTAATAGATATACTTTGGATGTTATATTAATCAATATTTCTTGAATAAAATGTTAATTTTCAATTATTGCTATCAAATTATGATAAAATTACGTGCAATAATCGTTGTCTTTGAATAATATTTTTGGAAAAAAGCTAATATTTCTGGAAATTTTTCCATCAACTTATCGACCAAAAACGGACTAAGTGTCCGTGACTCGTTTTAAGCATTATGTGGTGTCTGGTATTTCCAAGACGACTGTATTCCAAGATTTCTGATGTAACTGTAATTAATGAAATTTACAAATTAAACAAGTGTGTATTATTATACTAGTTTTTGTATAAAAATTATGGTGTTTTAAGGCGACTTACATATATCACATTATACACAGTGATTTTGTTTCTTTATCGCTTTAATTTAATTTTAAAGTTTTCAAAATGCATTAGTAGACGCATTTGTATTTGTTTAAAATATCACAGAATTATTATAGTGCAAGCTCTTGTAGTGACAAGTATTAAATAAACTATTAAAGAACTTATGAAAATCTAGCGGTAAAGTTAAATTTACTATTAATATGCGGAAAGTTTGTTGTGTTAAATGATGTACGTTAATTACAGATCAAGTTTAACAAGAATAATAGCATTTGAGCATGTAAAAATTAGAAATTAAATTTAAAATTATGTTCATATCATTATTACTACTATAAGTTTTTAAATTTATTTTTATTCATTGTATTATTTTTCTTACTTATGCTACGAGTTATGGTAATCGCATGAGATAAATTTCTTCAATGTTTTTGTATTAATTGAGATGCGTGGAAACGCATCAGCATTGGTGTTAATTTTACTTTTTTCAAATTTAATTTCAAAATTATAATCCATAAGACTAATTCTAATTCTAGTTACTTTAGGTTATTGTCTGTTAATAGACTTATTAAAGGTCTATGATATTTTTCTATTGTATTAATGTCTTTATATCTAACAAGTCCCAATACTCAATTTTTTTTACGAAATATTACGAATTTTTGGCTTCGTTGCTGGTTTTTTCTTTAAATGCCACTGATCGTGTCATATTTTTTATTATTATTTTCTTTTTTTTAAGTAAAAAAGAGTTTAATATTTTAAAAAATCTCGGGATATTATACACATTTTTTAAAAAGCTTCCCATTTAAATTCTATTGCACGATAGAGAAAGAAAGGTAGGAGTAAAGAAAAAAGGAAAAAAATATTTCAAATTCATATTTCAGTATGGTTTCAAATGTTAATGAGGAAGGATGTACGATTTTTATGCACATTTTGTATTTCCCAATAAGGTAAGTTGAGTAGTGTCGGCTAACAAAAATGTTATTAAAAGTAATATAGGTTGTTACATTTCAACAATTTGAACTATCGTATTTCATTTATTTATACGTTACTTATAAAATTGTTTCAAATAATTTCAGTTAAATTTTAAGTTATTAAGAATAAATATGTATGTACCTATTTCCAATAAATTTTTTTTTAATTAATTATTTTAAAACTATTTCAAACATGTTATATTGAGTGCTTCAAAAATTTTGCTGTGCTCTTTTTTCATATTTTATTAGCAGGTAAACAGGAACAATCTATTTATAAAATGTCCCTGCATGTGCATGTATGACCTATCTTAATTCTAAACGGAAAGAATATTAAATAAAGAACAAAAATTTTAAAATACCTGTTATTTTACAGTCGGAATTTTTGAGTCATTTGGTAAAATACCATTTATTTCAAAAATAAAAAAATATTCAAATCCGGTCATAAAAATATATAATTGTTTTTTCCAAACATTTTAAATATTTTTTTTTCTTAGGTAATTCATATAAATGATAGTAAGTTTTTAATATTTTTTCAAATAAAAATAGAGGTAAAATTTTGAAGTTTATATAAAATTTGTATTTAACAAATAATATTTGATTGTATTTTAGATATTATTTTCTAATTCCCTCTTCAAATTTTTTCTTTACTATGTATTTATATCAAAATTTAAGAATTATCTTTCATTAATTATATTTTCAACTTGACACCACAGTTACTCCCCATATCTTGAGTTAACTTACCCTATGAGAAAAAAAAGCTGTTCACTTAAAAATAATGAAATGCTTTCAGTAACATACAAAACGTTGAAGGCGAAGGATGTGCTTGTTGTTTTTCCGCTTTTTTTTAAATTTTAAAATAATTATCAATGAAAATATTAATATATTTTTTTGATTTTTCAAATATATTTTCTTAATTTTACCTGCTTTATAATAAGTGTGAATTTATTTTAATATTTCTTCTCAAAAAATAGCCACTTCGATTTAAAAAAACCCATATCAAATAAGGTCGTGCTTTCAAGTTTCTCTCTGAGCATTGGGACTTGTTAGACATAAAGACATTAATTGTATATTTCCAAATGAATTATTAGAGTCTAAAGAAAAGATATTGTCTAATGTATGGCTAAAAGCTCTTTTTCAATAATAGGACTTTTTATTTCTTTTTTGCTCCAGGATCTGAGATAAAACTGAACCGAAAACAAAGTTTGGGACATATGTAGTTATAATAAATTCTTTATCAAAATTGGATCTGTAAATACTGGTGGGTTGTTTTAATTTTTGCTTGCGAGTTGGCTATTGTCTCATATATTAATGCGTCGAGTTTTACTCCATCTTGTGTAAGTAAAAAACTTTGCGGTGATTATAGAATATTGAATAAAAAAAAAAATGTAACGGATAATTTTCAAGGAATGTTAATTGATGACGTTATGAAAAAGCTGGAAAGATTCGTGCAATTAACATCGTTTTTTTGCAGATTTATTAAGGATTATGAAAAGATAGTTAAACCTTTGTCCGATCACTTAAAAATTAGTGATTATTATAATTGGTGTTAGACTTGAAGATCTGGACACCCGAATGTAAGATAAGTTAATAATTATGTTGTAACATAACAGCGTGAATGCTTAGATTTCTTAAATAAATTTTTTTGATATCTTATTGTAAAGAATACAAATATGCCTTTTCTTAAATATTGTTTTCGCTTTCAAAAATTTTTTAGTTATAATTTTTGAAAACTACTTTCCGAGTTTCTTTTTCCGAGAAATTCCTTTGAAATTGTAGTAGTTCAATAGTTCAATTTTACCGTAAGTGACAATTAATGCTCATAATTACAACGTAATGCATAAATAAAACGAAATATTATAAATAAGATTTAACATTTTAAAAAACTGAATGTAAATATTAAAAAAATTCAAAGTTCCAAATAAAAGTAAATGTTATAAGGTTGAACGTTTAACTAAAAATAAAACTAAGTTTTAAATTGGAAACCTAGGATTTATATATAAAATTAAGATTTATATTGAAATTTGTATTGGAAATTGATACATAAATGTTTACGAATATGCTACATAAATACATTAAGTATGAAAATATTCTCATATATTCCACTTACATTCCATATACTCATATTACGTTACTTTACCTATAATGATGTTTTTAGGCGTATAATATGTAGGTGATTTGGGATCACATTTCGGTATTTTAATTTTACATCTATTCAAAAATTTCCCGCCAATAATTCCAGAATTTTTGAGTGGAGGCTCTGTAATTGAAATGGAATCATCTGCTAAATTATACTGCAAAATGAATTTTCGAACAGAATCTTCTGGGTGTGGAGAATCTAGTACACATAAATATCGCAAAACCTATGTATAAGATTAAAGATGATATTTTTTTTTACAGTCGTTGTTAACTAATATAACTCACTTTATTTGTATTTTTCAAATATTTGATTAAATCTTTTCGCGGGGTTTTCGGTCTAAGTGCGTAGTAAGACGCTAAAGAATCCTCAGGAGTTCCTAAACCAAGATATTCAGGTAAAGGCTGTGAAAGATTTTTTTCCTAAATCCTAGAAAATTAGCCTTACAATTAGTTTTTTTACCTGTCGACCTATTTTTTTTTCCGGTAGATGTATATGGATTTTATCTGGCTGATTTATGTGAAGTAAATCCTTGTAATACGCTCTGGTAAATTTATCACAATCTAATAAAAGAAATCTTCTACCGTAAACATTTATGGTTTCTCCAACTACAAAATCTTTTGGTTGATAATAGTTATCTGATTTGCCATCAGTAGTTTCCACTAAGAAAGTTCCCGGATTCGCTGAGAAAATAATTATGTTTTAAGCAAACTTTTTGTTTTATATACATATGTATAAAAAATACTTTTACATAATCCCTTTTCTCTATTTTTTGGTACTTTTGATCTTTTTAAGAACAATGGAAAATTGTCTCTCCCTTTCCTGTTCTCTTCCAATTCTTTTAGAGCAATTGTATCATCTTCCAAGAAATAAAGCATCGTATAGGTTAAGTTGTTGCCATTTTCTAGATTTGGCTCATATAGTAAAACATCGAATCTAAAACAAAATATTTTATTACAAAAATTGTATAGATATTTGTTTTACTAATATGCACAATATTAAAACTTTAATATTTTAAATTTGAAGTCTTTTTTATGATTAGAGGATTTTTTTGTATCATTGAACTCGAAACATTTTTGAACAGAATCAAGTTATATAAACCAAACTTGTAATAAAATTTTGGGACTGGTTTGAACTTGTAATTATCGCAGAGCAATTGTTAAGAAATTTTCAACTCAAGGGCTCAAGGAAAATTTTTTTTGCTAATCAGGATCATATTTTTTATCAGCTAATTGGAAATACTTCTTTCTTCTTCAAAAAAGTATTTTTAAAAAATAATTGGAAAATTATAAGTTGATTTTTAGAATTCTTTATGAATAACAAAAAGCTTTAAAGTTTATTTATTATAAAACACACTTTAATATTCTTGTAACAATTACTTTATGTAATAATGTTTCAGTTACATCAAGTAATTTTGTATAAATATACTCTTTAAATTTTTGCAACTTAATATAATTTTATGTGTTCTTTTTTTATCTTGTTAGCACTCTTCCAAAAAATTTTTTGAAAAAAGTGCTTATTAGTTTCACTCCGTCCGTCCGTCTGTTCGCGTGTCTGGTTACAAAGGGTATCTACACCCTTAAAGATAGAAAAGCTGAAATTTTACATGCACATAGATCTTTACTAGAAACCAATTTTTGTAGAACAAAATTCTTACCTATCTCCCCCCTTTTGAAGTTGTACCCCCCGAAACCATAAATATACCATTTTTCAACTATTAATTGTAGTATAGCCATATGCATTTTTTAGATTTTTCAAATGCAGAAATATATTGGCTGGCTTCCTCTACCGTGGCATACTATACTTGAACTTTAAATAAAATAAAATGGCTGCTAAAATTTACCGTTCTTTAAAGTCAGTTTTTTTCAAACTTTGGATCACACTTTTTTTTTACACCGTACGGTGTAGGATCCTGAAGGAAAATTTGAATATTTGGCACCTTATATTTGCGAAACCGCAAAATTTTTTAAATTCCTATAAACGCAGAAAGGTAGCGGTAGACTCCATGCCATTAAAAAATATAATTATTCTTTTAAACTTGCACAATTAACCCATAAAATCGAGCATTATGTTAACCCCTTTTTAAATTAATTTTTGCTGTATTTCAGAGACTGCATCAATCGCTCATCCTGAATATACGAAATCCTAGAAATAGTTCGTATGTGAATGAACATAATTTTAATAGTTTGGTAGCTATACATACTTTTTTCAAAAGAAGTATTTTCACTTGTTGAAGGGAAAAGTGCTACAATACAAACCATTGGTTTGACCCTGCTTTATTTATCATTCATTTTACCTGTGAAGTACACTGTTATTTTATGCTGTTTCCTAAATATCATTTTGTCTATCAAAGGACTGTTACACCCGTTGTTGATTTCTACATTTTTAATTATATTTTTTTTCTTTGTTGACTATTGTCGAGTTAAAAGTATGAAACGATGAAACGATACGTTTTTAAATGTCACGAGTTTTTTGAACAAAATATTCCGAACTAAAATTTCATTTAAATTATCATTGTTTATTTAATAATATTGCTGGAATATTAGATTTTGTAGTTTCAAGTATGTACAATTTTTGGTTTTTCCCAATATTCTGATTATGGGCGTGAAATCGAAATACATATCAATATAAAATAATAAAAAAAGTAAATTTTTTTGAAACAAAAAATTACATGTATTCCTAGTTTATTCTAACATATTAGTAATAAATTAATACATTTCTTTTTATAGAAAATAAGTTAGATTTTTCGTTGTTCAAATTAATTGAAACTTTAAGTTCAAAACCTCGTGGGTAAATGCAGCGTAGTTGAATGCAAATATTAAAGTTTTGGAAATACCTAAAAAACACCTTATTTTAACTTCAAACCTTCATTTAGCCCTGGTAAAAGCTTTTTGTTTAAAGGTAGCAAAATTTAAATAAATGAAAAATTCGAAAAATCACCTTAATATTTAATGTTTCACACATAGTTTCGATTTCAAGTGTACAAAACTTTTGTCCTTAACAAATATTTCTCATATACATATTTCGTTTTTTACAATATATTTCATAATTTTCTTGAGATTGCTTTAATTTTTTATTTTATTAAACTCAGGGAAAATTAAACTTCATTAATAATTTGCATTTACCATAACTACTTAAATTGTGTACGTAATATATAACATAATAGACTTACTTTAGAACTTTTCCATTAAATTGTAAAAATTTTTTTAGTTTGTCGTCTTTCTTAGCCGGCTGTTTTGAGATTTCGTTCTTATTTTCTGTAGAAATGTTGTCAAGACTCGTGAAGCTTGTACAAATTTCCGCCTTATTTAAATCAACCCCTTGACTCTTCAAAAAATCCTAGTAAATATAAAACTGTTTTCATACACTTGTTTTTTCATATTGCAATAAATAGCAATTTATTGAATTTTAGCAAAAACAATATTAGAGATGTTTAATTTAATGTAAAAGCTCAAAAAATTTGAGAAGTTTCTGATCAAGAAAAATTAATATCTGAGATGGACACCATAAGTTTATTATATAATCCAAAAGTATTCATTTATCGAACTAGTTTTGCATCAAAAGTTGTAAGTAAATATTTAAAGATGCTGAGTGAACATACGAAGTTTTAGAACAATTTTGATTGTTCAATGAATACTAAATCTAATAAAATTAGATTTCACTAATTTTTCCAAAGGTTTATGTGCATTTATTGGTTCCGTTGCAAATTTTGTTTAATACCTCTTGCAAATTAAAAAATTATTTAAAAATTTTTGACATTAAACATCAAGAAACACAACATTTTTGGGGTATTTGTTGGGTTCTTTTTCCAAAGGAGTTTATGAGTGTCCAAAAGGATTCCAAAAATAACCAGTTTTTGTACCCAAAACACAAAAACCGTGAGACAGAGAATGATCCAGAAAAATAAATATTTGCATAATCTTTTCAAAAATTTTTCAAGCATTTATTAGATATTTTAATTGACTTTTTATAACTTTACACTTTTCCTTTAAAAAATTCATTAGTTCATTATTTCAAGAATCATATAAAATAATGCACTAAAAGGTGAAAACTGCAACGCTATCAACTTTTTTTTATTTTTGCCCGTTATATTTTACTCAAAATATTGTATGCGTAAATTATTAAAATTAATAATTTGCTTTATTTTATTATTTACGTAAATATTTACGAGGTCTGTCCCAGAATTAAGTAGCCTAACCAAGAAAACACAAAAATTTTGAAAAAAAAAATAAGCTCCTAATTATTTATGTATACATTTAACTAGTTAAATAAAGGCAAAAGCAAAAATTGTAAATATTTTTTTCCTATTTTCTATTCACTAATTTTAACATGCTTAATGAAATTAACTTAAAAAGTACTTAAATTGAGTTTTTATTAGGATTTGACATATTAAAGTACATAATAACGCTAACTTGATATTACTTTACATGTTATTTTGACCAAAAAAAATGCATATCGTTAGCCTACTTCAGCGTCATATACGCATTAAAGTTTAAAACGCAAATTTTAAGTATGATAATAGCAATACAGCATGCTTATTATAAAGCTGTATCCTAATAGCAATACAGCATAAAGAGGATTAAAATCAATAGACTAACGCTGTTCTATTCTTGTCAAATTAAAAGCAATACACTGTATGATCTTTGATATTCAGTACGCCGATGTACTTGTACCTAAGTCTTGAAAATGTAACGCTTGGTTTAATTTCTACTTCATTCATAATAATTAGTCGTTTTATGTACGGAGCTTAAGCTACTTTTGATTTAGCTTTGTCTGTCCGTCCGTCCGCCCGTCCCGACGATAACTCAAAAACTAATTGAGCTAAGTTCATCAAATTTTCACAAATGATTTATTGTAGTAAGTGCCAGAACCCTATTGAAATTGGACATGATCGGGGCACCGGTTCGGGTAGCTGCCATAGAACTTCAAAATTTGTTTGGCTATAACTCAGAAACTATAAAAGCTGTGGTTTTGAAATTTCACACAAACGAATATATTAGTAGGGCTGATGTGTCTGATAAAAGTCGTTGGCATTACTTGGTTCCTTCTGGTACCTGCCATACAACTTTAAAAGTTATTTGGCTATATCTCAGAAACTATAAAAGCTATGGTATTGAAATTTCACACAAGCAAATTTATTAGTAGGGCCAATGTGTTTGATAAAAGCCGTTGAAATTGTCCTCTTCCTTCTGGTAGCTGTCGTACAACTTCAAAAGTTATTTGGCTATGTCTCAGAAACTATAAAAGCTGTGGTATTGAAATTTCACGCAAGCAAATATATTAGTAGAGCCGATGTGTTTGATAAAATTTAAAATTTAAAAAATTTAAAATTTCTTAGCTCTTTCCGGTAGCTTCTATACAACTTCAATAGTAGTTTGGCACACACAGTATTTTGAAAAACACAGTACTGAAATTTTGCATTCTTTAATATGGTAATACGTCAACTTAAAGTCATAGTCTGTCCCATAATCGGTTACGGCATCTTTATTCGCACATAGGATAACAAATTCGTACGGGTATCACAGAGTTGACAAGGTCAACTCTATTTTTTTCTCGTTTTACACTAATTATAACCGAAAAGAAAATATAGAGGTGATCATGTCAATTCTGTGTTACCTATACGAACTTGAGCAAACAAGTATGCCATAACTGTTAATGGGACATACTATGATTTTGATTACGCTAATTTTGTTTTACAAGAAATAAAAGAAATTTTCAGAATGCGACTTTGAGCAAGAATATATGTGCATGTCTATAACACAGTTGTATGGCAGGTCACTAAACATAACAAACAGCCTTAATAATATATTTGTTTGTGCAAAATTTCGATATTATAGCTTCAATAATTTCTGAGATACAGCCAAATAACTTTCAAAGTTATAGAGCAGGTAGCCGATTCACGGTTTTCATCCATTTTAAATAAGGTTCCGATATTTATTGTTATAAATCATTTGTGAATGTTTGGTGTGCTTACCCAATTAGTTTTTATCAATGAAAGCGACGAAAACGTGTATTGTAACAGCTGCTTCGTTAACTTAATGCCTCTGATGTGGGGAGAATGGGGTGGCATAAAAGGATATTTGTTCCTGATTTTCGCTGTTTATGTTAATGTTCTCACATGACGAGGAGATGAAAAAACTTTATGAAATCGATCACATAAACAGGATGAAAGGTAGGACAGAGGCACTTCGAAAGGATAGAACCATTCCGCAGTGTAAAAGATGTCAAAGGTATTGCCATACACAAAAATTTTAACAGAGAGAACTAAATTGTGTTGAATGCAGGCACTTAACCACAGATTGTAGTAAGCCAAGGAATAATACAGCAAAGTGCTCCAATTGTTTGGAGGCTCACCCAGCAAACTATAGGGGATGCAGCTAAGGAACTGTAAAAACGTAGGAATAACAGCAGCAATTTGAATAAAAATTTTGACCGGCCACCGAAGCAATTCAGTTCGAGAATAGTGTCTAAAGATATAACATACAACGAAGTTCTCCAGACGAAAACTGATGACAGTGGCACAATCAATGACGTGAGTGTATTGTATAAAATGCGAAATATGATGCAAAGCATGCTAGACATGATGGAAAAAATCTCTTAAAGGTTGAGCATTTTGGAGAGCGAGGGAAAAAAATCGAATACCAAAAACCTGGTAAATGATGGCACAAGGTACTTTTAAAATAGCGGCATGGAATTGCAATGGTATCGCAAATAAGGACATGCTTGAAGTTTTTCCACATATACAGAATATAGACGCGTGTCTTGTGACTGAAACACATATGAGCAGGATTCAGCTTCAAGGTTATAGAATTTACAAGGCTAACCACCCTGGAAATATAGCGAAGGGCGGAACAGTGTTAATAATAAAAGAAAATATAGTGCATTGTGATCTGCACCAGATGCAAGCCGAGGGAGTGCAAATGACGGCGATTCAGATCACTTCGACTAAACATAAATTTAGACTGGCATTGTGTTTTCACCCCAGATTTAAGATAACGACAGAAATGTTTCAAAACGTTCTGGGCGACCTAGATAACAGATTTATATTGAAGGTTCACTTTAGCGCTAAGCATACTGATTGGGGTTCAAGCAATACTTCAACTAGACAACTGAGGACAGCAATTGGCGGTTCGGGGTGCCTTTTTTACTCTACTGCGAAGCCAACGTATTGGCCAAGCGATGTTAATAAGTGTCCAGATTTAATTGATTTCTTCATAAAAAAACGGATTGCGAAAACCTTCATTGCGGTACGTGATAACAATGATCTGAACTCCGATCATTTGGTGGTTATTCTTAAACTTAACGAAAAAATTGTAATGAAAAGAGCGAAACCTGCGCTGACAAATGGAACTACACATTGGTCAAGATTTCGGTTAGAGATTGAGCGACAAATGGATCTAAGGAAAATAATAAGAATGGCCCAGCAGATAACTGAGAAGGCCGAAAGTCTCACTAAAATTATTCAAAATGCGGCATGGAGTAGTTCGAAAATCAATGCTATTAGAAGGGTTAGCATTGACTATATTCCCATTATATTAGCAAAAGTAAGACAAAGCAGGGGGGCGAGAAAGAGTTGGCAGCAAACGCGTGATCCTATTGAGATCCTAGATATAATCGTAACTCGCTGAAATTAAAACGTTGTATTAGAAAACACAAGGAAGATTCGGTTGCCAATTATGTTCAAAATTTGACGGCTTGTGAGAAAACCAATTACTCACTGTAGAGGGCAACAAAGAAAATGAAACAACCCAGCAAACATCTCGCAGCTAATAAAAACAAAGATGGAACGTGGGCAAAAACTGACAAAGACAGGGCAAATGCGTTTGCGGATCATTTGGCCGATATATTCTGTCCGTATGACAGTAAAGCCGTACATGAAATAAGGAACCTGTTTTTGTTGGGGATAGGCTGACTATTCCAATTGTCAAAGAAAGAGATATTATAGAGGAAATCAGGATTCTTAAATCTAAAAATGCTCCGGGCTTTGACCTAATATCGGCCGATATTTTGAAAAAATTACCCAGAAGGGGTATAATTATGCTTACGCGCCTAATAAATACGTGTATAAGGTTTAATTACGTGCCTGATATTTGGAAAGTTGCAGATATAATTATACTCCACAAATCTGGCAAACCTATAGGCATGGCGATAATTTCTAAACTGCTAGAGTAACTTTTATTGAGAAGACTTCAGACAATTATTGAAAGTAAAAATTTAATTCCGAATCATCAATTTGGTTTTTGCCAGAATCCCTCAACCTTAGATTAGATTCATTGAATAACTGACCTAATAGAAAAATCAATATGTTCTATCATATTTTTGGACGTAGCCCAGGCCTT